ATTCTATTTAACATCATATTAGAGAAAATAATTAGAGAGTCAAAAGTCAACACCAGAGGAACAATAATAACAAAAAGTGTACAAATATTAGCATTTGCAGATGATGTTGATATCATAGCTAGAAGCTAAAAAGAGATGATAGAAGCATTTAATGCGATAGAAAGAGCCGCACCAAACAGTGGCCTAAACAATAATGAAATACCAAATACATGAAGACCAGCAAATCGACAGGCCAAAGAAACCTACAGAATCTGACAATAGGAGACTATAACTTCGAAAGCGTAAATCATTTTACATCTCTAGGTTCACTAGTTACCGCAGATAACAATGTCAGTGAAGAAGTTAAGAGAAAAATACATATCGCTAATAAAACTTATAATGGACTAACTAAACATCTAAGATCTAACAACATCACAAGAAAAACCAAATGCAAACTATACAAAACCCTGATAAAACCAGTTCTTGTATATGTATCAGAGATATGGACACTGTCGAAAAGCGATGAGAACCTATTAGGTACGTTTGAACGAAAAATCCTTAGACACATATATAACGGGGTGAAAAAAATGACGTATAGTGCAGAAGATATTATATCGAACTATACACTGCATACAATGAACCCGAGGTCATAACATCCATAAAGATCGGACGTTTGTGCTGGATGGGCCATGTTGAACGGATGTTGGAGACTGAAATACCAAAACGTATAATAAGGCAAATATCAGTAGGAATAAAGTCAAAGTGAAGACCCAAACTAAGATACATGGAAGAAGTGGGACAAGATCTAAAAACACTTAAGATTACCAACTGGAAAAAAAAGCAAGGAACAGAATGGCGGAAAATCCTAGAACAAGTCAGGACTTAGAAAGGGTTGTCGAACTACTGATGATGACAATTACCTAATACTAGGCTCCTACACGAGACTGTTCAGTAAAAAGACCTTTCAGGTCCCCTCGAGACCTTAGATGACAAAGAGTTAAAAATAAGAGGGCTAGTTTTGCCAACGGTTACACCAACCCAAGTATTACTTAATGTCACAAAGCTTTACTAATATTTACAGTTACTAAGCATCTTTAACATGTATATTAATTTAATAAACAAGTAGATATATCTGCTTCTCAGGCAACCAGGTAGAAATGGGAGTAATAAAAGTTATAAAAATCTTTTCAAACTTCCACAAAATTTATTTTATTCTCTTATCACTACAGCTGTTTCGGCTGATTGCCTTTCTCAAGTGATGTATTTTTGGCATGCGTTTACACTTTATAGTCTCTAATGAAATATATTGAGGAGGGGAAAACTGTTTGTCTCAAGTTGGTCATTCAGAATTGTGTCTGGGTTTTTTAATTTGTTGATTTCCATAGATTCTAATAAGGATAGCTTAAGCCTTTATTTTGAATGTGAAAAATTTTAAATTCATCATTAAAAGAATGATTGTGATCTAGAAGGTGAAATGCATATGTAGAATCTGTTTTTCTATTATTGAAAGCCTTTTTATGTTCTACTATTCGTTTATTAAAGTTTCTACCAGTTTGACCGATGTAAGTTTTTGGACAGTCGCCACATTTAACTTTGTACACACCACTGTGTGTTTTTTATTTTGGCTCTTGTTGTTTTTGATATATTTGCCTAGGTTGTTATTTGTTCGAAAAGCAAGTGTTATTCCTTTCTTTTTTATGTGTTTGTCTAATTTTGTTGATATTTTGCCTGTATATGTAATCGAGCAGAAGGTACTGAGTTTTTTCTCTGGTGGTGGAAATACTAACTTCAGGGCTTTCTTGTGTAGTTTTTGATTTAACATTTTATTAATTGTTTTTTCGTTGCATCCGTTGATTACTGCTATTTGCTTGATGATATTTAACTCTGTCTCAAAGTTGTATTTTAACATCAGAATTTCTGTTAATCTATGTAATATACTATGATTGGCTGCCAGTTTATGTTGTGTTGGATAGGATGACGAATTGTGTATAGTCGTGTCAGTATGGGTAGGTTTATAAAATATGGAAAAGTCGTGTTTGTTTTTAAATCTAATAATTTTTAAATCTAAAAACTTTATGGATTGATTTTGTTCTGTTTCTATTGTAAATTCAATATGACTATGAAGTTAACTAATATACGATAAAAATTGATCGAGTTGCCTGTTAGTTACTGTGAAATATATTAGTACGTCATCTACGTATCTCCATCAATATAAACACTGTTTAAATACGTGATGTTTTGAAATCTTTGTCTCTAGATGATCCATAAAAATATCTGATAACAATGGGCTTAGAGGACTGCCCATTATAAGTCCTGCACTGTTATTTGTATATATTTGGTTATTAAATTCAAAGTAGTCCTGGTTTATGCAAACTTCAAGAAGATGTAAAATTTCAGATGTAATTATTGGATTTGTACTATTTTGGTCTAAAAATATATACAAATAACAGTGCAGGACTTATAATGGGCAATCCTCTAAGCCCATTGCTATCAGATATTTTTATGTATCATCTAGAGATAAAGATTTCAAAACTTCCCGTATTTAAACAGTGTTTATATTGATGAGGATACGTAAACGACGTACTATTATGTTTCATAGGAACTAACAGGCAACTCGATCAATTTTTATCGTATAATAATTCACTTCATAGTCATATTGAATTTACAATAGAAACAGAACAAAATCAATTTATAAAGTTTTTAGATTTAAAAATTATCAGATTTACGAACAAACATGACTTTTCCATATTTCACACACAATTCATCATCCTATCCAACAGAACATAAACTGGCAGCCTATCATAGTATGTTACATAGATTAACAGAAATTCCGATGTCAAAATACAACTTTGAGACAGAGTTAAATATCATTAAGGAAATAGCAGTAAACAACGGGTACAAAGAACAACTGATTAATAAAATGTTAAATCAAAAACTACACAAGAAACCCTGAAATTAGTATTTCCACCACCAGAGAAAAAACCCAGTACCTTCTGCTCGATTACATATATAGGCAAAATATCAACAAAAATAGACAAACACATAAAAAAGAAAGGAATAACACCAGCTTTCCGAACAAATAACAACCTAGGCAAATATATCAAAAACAACAAGAGCCAAAATAAAAAACACTTACACAGTGGTGTGTACAAACTTACATCTGGCGACTGCCCAAAAACTTGCCTCGGTCAAACTGGTCGAATCTTTAATAAAAGAATAGCAGAACATAAAAGGGCTTTCAATAATAGAAAAGCAGATTCTATATATGCACTTCACCTTCTAGATCACAATCATTATTTTAATAACAAATTTAAAATTCTTCACATTAAAAATAAAGGCCTTAAGCTATCGTTGTTAGAATCGATGGAAATCAACAGACTAAAAAACACATATATAATTCTGAATGACCAACTTGAGACAAATAGTTGTTCCTTCCTCAACCTATTTCATTAGAGACTATAAAGTGTAAACGCATGCCAAAATACATCACTTGAGAAAGGCAATCAGCCAATCAGCCAGAATCAAATAAGTTTTGTGGAAGTTTGAAAACAAAGTTTTCAGTGTTTTATTGTTACATAAAATAAATTTTCATCAAGTTACGGTCGAATCCATTATTTATTCTAATACAATTTTATGAAGGAAAATGTTTTTATTTTTTAACATTTTTAAAACATTTTAAAAACTGTTTAAGAATATATGTAGTTTTTATTTTAATAGTATTTGCTGGTTATATATGATTGGTATATTTTATTTTTACCATTATCTGCTCCAGTTAATTTAACTGTTTTAAAATCCTGTTTACCTATTCGTTGTTGTTTAAGCTCATGTTGGTAGTTGTAAAAAGCACACAAAAAAAATTTATTTTTTTTAAATATATTAAAAATTCTAATCACTTTTTGTGATCTTTAATGTTTTTTTTTATTTCTTAACAGTTTTGAATTAAGGGCAATAGCCTTACATTCATTCATTTCGGGCCTATCTATAGGCGGATATTTTGAACTGGATGAAAGCAATTATACTACAAGTTAGTGTCCCACTATCACGACTCCACTTTGTACTCTATGTTCGGGAATCTATATTTTTTATTTTAGCTAGTTAGTTATTGAATTTCTTTACGGTTTAAGTTGTATAATAAGAATAAGTTTATTAAAGTTTATAAAATGATGCAAAATAACCTAAAATAACACTATGTATTTAATTGTTTTTATTTAATTGTTATACATTTATATATACATACACCAATTATTAGAATGTATCAGGACATGCTCAATAAACAAACTTGAGATGCCTGAGGAGGTACTACAACGCAGTTGTTAGCTTCAGCTTCTGTGAATGTGAGATGACGTAACCGTCCCCAACGAGCTTTTTGGTGCTTTCATGGAAGAATCTAGCACTCATTGTGCAAACTACTAAGAAATTTGTGCAGTGACGACTTGACTAGGCAATCAAGTCTACGTTGATTCATAAATCCTACAGAACGCCGTTTAAAAGTAAAAGGCTTGTGCGCAACGTGTGGAAACTGTTTTTCCGTTTAAAAAATAATAATTTTGCTACTTATTTGTTTTAACATTTCCTGCTGTTCTTTTTACTCTCTATATAGAATTTATCATAAATAAAAATTATAATAGACATACAACAATAAGACAACTTGAGCAGACAACTCATAAGACCATAATTGTCAATAATAACATAGATTTAAAAGCAAAATTGAACTAATATCGCCAAAAAAGTGCTCGCAAAGAAGTAAACAAAAATGTGCGTGTGGGTTACTGACTTTAAATTTAGAATCTATCAATTAAAATTGTGTAAGTTTTGGAAATTTAAGTTTAAGAAAAACTTTTAAAAAGTTTTTGTTAAAATTATACTAACGATTAGAGTAAAATGCATTTCAAGAATAGGAAGAAGTATAAAAATACGTAGAAGAAAATTAATTGTTTCAATAATTTACGATTAGATCGTTTTATGTTTTATAACGTTTTTTATGTTTGTTATAATATTTATTATAACGTATCTGTACTTACTTGTATACATATGGACCCAATTCGTTGACGATAGGTTTTGATCCATTGTTAAGAAATTCATCAGCATTGGTAACGTTGTAGATATAAAGCCTTATCTTAGGCTCTACTGGAGGTTTGGCCCACCAACCGAACGTTTGTGTACCATTTACTAACTGAATTTGCTAAAATAAATAAAAAAATATTGAAAAATGAAAAACAAAAATAAACAGTGCTAACTATCGAAATAAAAATTTCATATTCAAAGGAAAGGTTGGTTAATAATGATTTAGGAGTTATCTTCGTTAACGATGCTTCCAAATAGTTCCCTTCTTAGTGTCATTGTTTTTAAATATATATGTAAGCTTTGTGAATGTGTGGGTAAGATGTGTGGATAATTCGGAACACAGCGGATGGTCTTCGAGATTGACAGATAGCTAGTTGAAAAACCGAGGTGTGTCATTTTTTCCAATTTTATTTTATTGTTATTATAACAAAGAATCATAAATATTGTGCTATTGATAATATAGGAAAGCATAAAAACAATTGTTGATTCTCTATCTGTTTAGAAAATCAACCTTTCTTTTGCTTACACCAAAAAATCATCATATATAGTTTTTGCAAGAAATACGCGAAGAAGTTTAATAAAAACGCTACGTTAATTTTTTAAATATTCAACTCAATAATCAATCCAATTGCAGCAAGATTACCAGTATTTGTAAGAGATAAAATAGATAGACAAAATTTATATAATTCAGAAGACTTATTTAAAGAAAGAAAGATTAGGAAGATACAAAAAGTAACCAATAAGAAGATTATAGATGACACTAAAGATGTTAAAAAAGTTAAAATACCAGAAGTAAGAAGAAATTATAAAAAGCAATGCAAGATTTGTAAAGAAATAGATACGAAAAACCGATACCATACAGAATTGTACAATTCAATCACCAATTAAAGTAGATGTATCGCTGAATGACATATTGGAAGTTGAAGAAATTTATTACCAAATAACCTGGCCCAAACATTACAGTAATAAACTTAGCTAATACAATTAAAAAACCAAGAAGGACTCGATTTCGAAACAGTGAACACGTTAACGTTTTGAATCAATTATATTGTTAATTGATATTAAATATCAGTGTTTAATACAATTGATAAAATGTGAAATGGTATTGTTGTGTTTGCATATGAAGTGATTAACAGTCAGTAAGTGTTTTATTCTACATATTGGAAAATTAATTATTAATTTTGGACTATCTATCGTCTATATAAAATTTCAACTAGTAGTGTTTTAAAAAAACTATCAACAACTACAAAATAGTTTATTAGTTTTTCGTTTTAAATCCAGTTTCACCAGCCAGCTGTAAAGCTGGCCACGGACGTATTAAATTCTTCAATAATTTTAATACGTTGGAGGAAAATTAAATATGGCTACTAACAGCAGCATCCCACCTACCTCACTACTAATGTCTGAAATAAACTCTAATAGCTCTACGTACTCATCAGCAGTAGCAAATATGCAGTTCCCATCGAAAGAGTCTTCAGTGCCTTGGATAATACTGAATTGCAGGACTATTTAATTCCATTGGGCAAGATAAATCAACCAAAGAATATAATATTTTCATCCAGATTATCAAATAACCGTATTTGTGTGTATCTAGCAAATAAAAAAGTTGTTGATGACTTTATGACAAACCACGGTCATAGAAAAATTGAAAATGTAACTGTATAGGCTAGAAGAATAATTACCCCATCCTACTGCATCGTTTCTTAATCAACTACCCACAAAATATCAGACTTAACATGGTATCTCCAGTTACATTTTTAAAAATCAGCGCTCTATCACCTGAGTATAGTCATATTCTCAGTTTCAGAAGACAGGTCTATGTAAGTCCTCATAGTATAGAACTACCTGATTCGTTTGACCATGACGAAACAACATATCGAATCTTTCTGTCTCAAGATAGTATGGTATGTTACACCTGCAAAAAGACCGGACATACTGCCCATCGTTGCAATGAAAACTCACAAGTTCATGTTGAAGAATATTCTATGGAAACCAATAATGATAATTTATCTCAAACCGAACTTGGCAATATTATTATTCCAACTCCAACTTCATCTTCTACGGATAAAACAGAATCAATCAAACAAAAATCCGATAAAACACCTAACCAAAAAACTATCAGCAACAATATTGATCACAATAGACACAACAGGTATAAATAGTAAGCCAAAACGGAATGTTCATGATATTCTTACACCGCCATACACGGATCTAAAAGAAAACCATTTTTCGACACCAACACCTAAAATGAAGAAAACTAAGACCAGTGAAGATTGCAAAGAAACCATATTATCCAGTCAAACTCTTTTAGAACCAGTAAAACACTTTATTGAAAATCAATCACAACCATTTATCCTCAATTTCGATCAATTTTGTTTACTCCTAAGTAAAGTTAGTGGTGTACAAAATCCCATTAATATAATTCAGGACTTTACTACAGATATCCCAGCACTTATTTATATGCTAAACACAATTTACCCCCATTTAAAAGAAAGATCTGCTAAACGATGCATTACCAGACTAAAAAGAAAAATTAGTAATAACAGCAATTTAGAGTCCGATAGTGACTATTCAATGCCTAAACAATTCATTTCTATTCTTTTTTTTTGCTAAATAAATTCATTCACAACTCTACTCCAATGGAATATCGGTGGACTCTTCCATCGACTTGCCATTTTACAGAAACTCATTTCTGACCATTGCCCAGATATAATATGTATCCAAGTAACTAACCTTAGTCCAAACAAAAATTACAATCCTAAGCAGTTCAATTGTTTTAGAAATTACAGAATAAGCAATTGTAATTATTCTTCTGGTGGGGTGGCCATTTTGATCAAAAAATCTTCTGTAGAAAGCCTATTTCCTGTAAACACCACACTTGAAACAGTAGTAATAAAACTTGTAGTACCTTCAACTCTCTACATCTGTAATATTTATTTACCATCGAGTGCAGTATTTACTTTTTTTATTTTACAAAATAGTCGCATCAACCTCTGAGGTTATTAGCGACATATATACATATACATAAGATAATTTATTTACAATAAATGTTTTTGTTAAATAGATTGATATCTTTAAGGAATTTTACCAAATGCTCAATTTTACAATTTTTTTCTAAGATTTCACTTGTTGATCCCATGATGTGGTTGTTTTGTATCTGCAACTGGTATCTTGGGCAATCTACAAGTACATGCTTAACACTTAGTGGGATATTGCAGTTTCACTGAAGACGAGTAACAATGACTTGGTGAATCTGTTGGGAATTTGAGATTTCCACGGTTTTACAAACGTTTTCACTTTGCGAATTATTGAAGTTAAACTGTCCCACTGGTTTTGAAACAGATTTTCGACTTTTACTTCAATAAATGATTTTAAATCGTTACGATCGAACCAATCGAACAAATACCATCTCCTCGTATTATAGTCGGTGATTTCAATGGTCACAATAACATATGGGGATCAGTACGTACAGATAGTAGAGGTAAATTACTGGAAAAGTGGATGTCTGAGTTACAGCTCAACTTACTTAATGATGGAACTCCTACACGTTTTAACATTCAGACGGGAGATTCATCTGCAATTGACTTAAGTTTTTGCGATCCAGTTTTGTCTCCTCAGTTCTTGTAGGAAGTCCTACCATATACATATAGTAGCGACCATCATCCCATTATTATCCGAAATTTTACTAGACAACAATCTACTCACGAGTTTTTACCCAAATGGAAAACTGAATCAGCTAACTGGACAGAATTTAAAGACTTAATCGATAAATCTATGGAAAACTTTATTATAAAAAATAACATTAATGATACTCTAGAAGACTTTAATAATATAATTATACAGAGTGCAAAACAGTTTATAGGTAAAACAAAACCGCCAAAAAATCATACACCCGTACCATGGTGGAATCTTGACTGCAGTGAAGCGATTAGGGCAAGTAAAAAAGCTTTTAATAGGTATAAAAAACATAAAAATCTAGAGAATAAGATTGAATATGAAAGACTTAAGTCTAAAACTCAACTATTAATTAAACAAGCAAAAAAATCCAGTTGGATGAAATATGTTTCTAATATAAACAGCTCCACGTCAATAAGTGAAATTTGGAAAACAATTCTCAAAATTTCCGGTTTTTAACTCCCACCCACAGTATCGAACCTAAAAGTATATAACCAAATAATTACATCACCAAAAGGAATTGCCAACATATTGGCACAAAATTATACAAAAATATCTTCCAATGAAAACTACGACCCTGTTTTTCTTGAAAACAAAATACAATCGGAAAATTATAGCACAATTTCGTATAAAATTTACAATATTCCTCTAACGCTTCATGAATTGAATGATTCACTTAGAGATTTGAAGGATACTAGTCCTGGACCAGATAAAATACCATCTATTTTTTTTAAAACAACTTACTAATTCAGCCATAAAGGTTATGCTACAGATATTCAATTTCATATGGCAGCAACACCAGTACCCCACAATTTGGACTAAGGCTATTGTTCTCCCATTTCTTAAACCTCAATGTCCCCGTCTAGACCCTGAATCTTACAGACCCATAAGTTTGACGTGCTCCATGAGAAATTTACTAGAACAAATTATCAATACAAGGCTCACCTGGACACTTGAAAGTTCAAATCTACTAACGAATGAACAAAATGGTTTTAGACAAAATTGATCAGGCATAAATAATATAGTAGATTTAGAAAGCGATATCCAGGAAGCACTTCGATGCGACAACACTGTATAGCAATATTTTTCGATATAAAGAAAGCATTCAACACGTGCTGGAGATATAATTTTTTAAAAAAGCTGCACTCATGGAATATACGGAAAAACGGGAGAGTTCAAAGTTCATATTCCGAAGAACATATTGAGGAAAACGGAATCCCTCAAGGTTCTATAATTAGCCCGACATTGTTCCTAATCGCCATAAATGATACAATTAAAAATTTATAAAAACCTTTGAAAGCTCGTTTTTACGCGGACGATTTGGAAGAATGGTCCTGCGACACGGGATTTAAATTTTCCGTATCTAAAACAGTGGGAATGGTATTCACTAATAAACACACTTTCAGTAAAACAATATTAAAGTTTTTTAATTTAGAGCTCATGTTTAAAACAGACATAAAATTCACGGGAATGTAGTTGGACAAAAAACTACCTTGGAAAAAACACAGAGATCAACTTGTTGCATCGTGCATTAAAAGATTAAATATACTAAGAACTTTATCTAACAGGGATTGGGGCTCTGATTATGATACACTAATTAGTCTATATAAAGCATTAATTAGATCTAAAATAGATTTTGGCTTCATTGCGTATTTATGCATCCGACACAACACTAAAACCATTAGATATTATACACAATACCGCATTAAGAATTGCTCTGGGAGCATTTAGAACAACACCGGTAGAAAGTTTATATAGTGGAACTGGAGAACCATCTTTACTACACCGTCGCATTTATTTAACATTAACACATGCAACTTGTATAGCATCCAATCGAAATACACCTATTTTTGATAATACCTCCAATAACAAACATACACTTCAAAATAGATATAATTCACACAAACCTTTCTATGGGAGAAATCGATTCTATCTAAGATATTTAAACCTAGAGTTTCCAGATATATTTCAAATAAATTTGAACCATCCTCCACCTTGGTGTACCAATATCCCCGAAATAAATTATAATCTTACTGTATTTAATAAGCATGCTAGAAATCCAGCTGTTATTAAAAATAACCGCAATTCAATCATAAACAAACATAGAGAAAATTGCTGCAGGATATTTACAGATGCATCCAAATGCAATACAGGAGTTGGTGCTGCATATGTAATGTCTAACAATAATTTTAATTCAGACTGCCTAAATATTTCAGCATCTTTCTGCTAAACCTTAAATCATATGTATCCTATGTTTGTTTTACAAACCTTAAATCCTTAAAAACCTTAAATAAGTCATATGTATCCTAAAAGTCCCCTAGAAAAAATGGTAAAATCTGAACTAAAGCAAGCTAAAGAAAATTCCAGACGCATTACCTTCATATAGATCCCATCTCATATTGGTATTGATGGAAACGAAGCTGCAGACCAGTGCGCGCGTAAAATGTCAGAAAATGTCGAAACATATGTAACGGAGTATCGAAATCCCGCGGGTGATATAAAAACGTCTATAAAAAATTTAATTACGTGTAAGTGGAATCAAGAATTATCCATGGCTACCTGGAACTCGAAATCGAAAACTGCAAACCATTATTACTCATCTACGTTTAGGCCATTCAAGATATACGCATTCGTACCCTTTTACCAGAGACAATTCTCCTAAATGTGACATTTAGTGACGAAACAAACAGTGTTAAACATTTTTTAATTGACTGTCTACTTTTTGTAAATGAGCGCAACAGGTTCAATATTCCAAATAATATCAATAAACTCTTAGGTACAGACTGTAATTATGTTGATTTGGGAAATATTTAAAATGTATAGGATTATATTATAAAATTTAAACTATTAGACCTGTACTGTACAAATAAACTGTATTCCCGCTAGTCACCTTATGGTGTATGCGGTAAACTTTTTCAAGTTATTAACAAAACAGTACATTAAGATTGATTAATTGTAAGGGAAAAAGGAATGGATTATTAACATTAAAAGTGAAAATATTAGGTAAAACGCTATAAGGGTATTTATATTAGAAAGTAAAGAATTTAGTTAAAATCTCATATTGGAGTTAGATATAATAAAAAAAATTGTAATGACCCATGATGAAGATTTAAAGATAAAAAATAAGAAAAAGCAGACAAATGATCTAGAGCATATCAAGTAAATTTCAATGAAGGAATAGACAGAGATAATTATTTTTTGTTGGCACAGGGTACTTAGAATCAGATCCAAGAGAAATAATACATGCTCTACGTAGAGAATATAAACAATTTTTTGTTAAAGATAAATTTGATTTACGCAAAGTAAGAAAACATAAAGTATTAATTGATCAACAAACAGAAAAATATTGCTATAAAAGATCATACAGATGGTCAATAGAAGATAGAAATGAGATATAAAAACATATTACAGATTTATTAAAACATAATTTTATTGAACAATCATGTAGAATTTAAAAACAGCTATTTTTTAGAAACTCTAATCATGAAAGGAAGTTTGAAATTTTATTAATTTTGCTTGGAAACTTCTTTCTGAATCCTTTAAAGATTAAAATATGACAATTCATGAAGATGCTCATAGATACTATGACTGTAAAACATATCTTTGAACTTTTACTAAATGTCTTCATACAACGGAATGACTTACTCTGATAACTCTGACTGACTAATAATTCTAATCATGAAAGGAAGTTTGAAATTTTGTTAATTTTGTTTGTAAACTTCTTTCTGGAGCCTTTAAAGATTAAAATATGACAATTCATGAAGATGCTCATAGATACTATGACTGTAAAACATATCTTTAAACTTTTACTAAATGTGTTCATACAACGGAATGACTTAATAAATAACGAAAATTACACTGATGGTTCAAAAAGCGTAAAGAAGTAGGAATAGGAGTTGATGATTCTAACATAAGAAATAGTCTTCAAAATATCCCTACTCTACATATTTCAACATGCATTACTAGCAACTTTAATAGACTTCTTAACATGTCTGAAAATAGCAAAAGAAACAATGCAGATTATTGAGAACATATTTCAGGTCAAAAAAAAAAACATGAGTGATGATTACACTAAACACTGTCTACTCAGATATTATAAGAATATATCTTACACTTCTGTAAGTAGGATAATCTTTCGCTAACGCCAAAAATATCTGCGACAAATTCTTTTAGAACCTTATTGGATAACGAACGTAGCTCTCGCATAGATATAGATTATAAAAAAAGTTATTTTAAGTCATATGGAAAGATTAATAGAGTCAAATGACCCCTTTATATAATCCTATATAAATAGGATCTATAAACGTACAATATAAGTTGTTTTTCTAATAGAACTTGTATATAGTTTTAATACTGTTGCATTTTTATTATCTATTTTGTTAGGTTAGGTTAGGTTAGGTTAGGTTAGGTTAGGTTATATAGGTTATATAGGTTATATAGGTTATATAGGTTATATAGGTTATAGAGGTTATATAGGTTATATAGGTTATATAGGTTATATAGGTTATATAGGTTATATAGGTTATATAGGTTATATAGGTTATATAGGTTATATAGGTTATATAGGTTATATAGGTTATATAGGTTATATAGGTTATATATGTTATATAGGTTATATAGGTTATATAGATTATAAAAAAAGTTATTTTAAGTCATATGGAAAGATTAATGGAGTCAAATGACCCCTTTATATAATCCTATATAAATAGGATCTATAAACGTACAATATAAGTTGTTTTTCTAATAGAACTTGTATATAGTTTAAATACTGTTGCATTTTTATTATCTATTTTGTTAGGTTAGCGATGTTATTAAATTTATTTAGAGTTACTTATTTTAAAAATCTACTAATGCTAACAATATTATGTTTTAGTAGTCAGTTTAGTAATGTTTTCTATTGTTAGGTATACAAATAGCAGATAGCAATATGCTGTTGAAATAAACTTTGCAAGATTACAGTTTATTAGACTGTACCAATTTTGGTTTATTGAGTAAAGTAGTGATCTATTAGTAGTGAACTCCATTTTATTTAGACATTTAAAACTATTTAAAACTTATGTAACATACTTACTGAATTTATTATTAAATTAACCCAGCTATTAAAGAAAACAGCTATTATTATTCCAAAGAATACACATCCTAGTGATATAGCTACGACGAACCCTGTAACAAAAACATACATAAATAACTGTAAAGCAACAAACGGCACATTCGTATATGTCAAATAATTACAAATAATTTAATAAGCGCAAACAATTTATAATTATTTCAACTAAGTTGAACTTGATTTAGATAATATTTAATATTATGAATACTTCGTGTCTATGAGTTGAAATATGTGGACTATTTGAACAGAAAAATATCTAGTATATTTTCACATATGACGTCGTATAAATTAGCCGTCCCTACAATTCTTAAACAATACCGGACTGCGAGTAGGGAATACCATGTCTAAATCTCTTAAAAAGTGGAAGACCACGTGCATTTATTGTGCAGATTTCAGAGAGTTTGGAGAGAACAAAAAACCAGGTTGAACTCTCAACGAGAAGACTGGCTCGTCAATACAGATTTTCTAAGCCATGTAATTACCCTAAATACCTTCAAACTCAATTTTTCGTATACCAAGATGCTGTCATCAACTGAGGTTGGTTTGTTTGAGAAGATTTATATTATTTTAGATGACAAAAAGTATTTTACTTTGAGTAATTCTTAAATGAGGGGAAATGATAGATTTTATACGCACAGCGTAGAAGAGTGCTCTGACAATGTTAGATATAAACAGAAAGCGAAATTTACAGAATACAGCCTTGTCTGGTGCGTAATTTCTAACAGGGGTGTATCCCGAACTTTTGTGGGAAAAGTGAGGGGCGAAGCTTTGAATAGTCAGAGCTACATTACTACTGCCTTTTCAAATTACTTTATTTTTTTCACGAACATCATGATAATGACAATATCATATTTAAGCCAGATATAGCATCATGACTTTACCTAACAGATACCCACAATTGACTTCGACAACACCACATACCTTTAGTTCCAAAAACAATAACCCTTTAACCTTACCGCAAGCTTTCAATAAAAAATTTTTAGGCATTACTATCAAGAAAGGTTTATTATGGAGTCTGGGAAGCACAAGATGAAGAATATCTAAGATAGCGAATTAACGAAAAACAGAGAAATTGATCTGAATTCCATTCAGAACCTCATGAGAGACACTCAAAGAAATTTGCATCTGGCACCACCGACGGCATAAATGAACCGTCCTCTGTTATTAGTGGCAGTAATATATTAGTTACGGGGGTTATATTGGAATCGTGGAAACTGCGACCTCGAAAGCCCGGGAGAAGATATCAAAGAGAATGTCGACAGCTCGGCGGCGCAATGATAATTGACACGGTTCAACCCAGAAGACATATTAGCTTAATATTAATTCTTGTAATAGTATTAATTTTAGCTCTAGGTTTAATAAAACTAACCCCGGAAATCTTTTGGAATATAATATATATATATATATATATATATATAATATATATATATATATATATATATTATATTTGTTTATATATATATATATATATATATATATATATATATAATATGTATATATAAATATATACATGAAACTAAAAGATACATATACATCTTCAAAAAAGTGGCCTAAAAATTACAACTAAAAATGTGAAAACGGTATCGAAGCTATACACAAAAACAAAAGATCCTTTCACAATACACGAGTCATCGAATGTTGTTTATTCTATACCGTACTAATTGTAATAACATTTACACAGTAGAATCATCTCGTTATTTTCACAGCAGGGTGATATCATCATATCGTAGTGATATAAAAACCAAAAAAAAATCAATGCATGTGCATTGACAGAACATGCATTAACTCTGAAATATAAATTCAATTTCGATGATTTCTGTATTTTAACAAAAGAAAAGAACCATTCAAAACGTGTTTTTTGTTTAAACATGTTTCATAAAATCTAGCACATCTTGCATCAATAAAAAATCTGACATAGATAAACTAAGCAACATTTATTGTTATTTACTAGAAAAATACCAAAAATAAAATAAATATAATAAAATAAAATAAATTATACTTTTATGTATAATGTGTTGCATACTATTAAGACAGGTTTAAAAAGTAAAATCACCTAAGATGGGCCTCTAGTTTTTCTTGAAAAGAAAGGTAACATCAAGTACACCTAATTACATGTTAATTACAGTGTTTTTACTTTTTGTTCTCTATGCATATGAGTTAAAACGATGCAATAAAATATGCCATAAACTAAGTTTTACTATCTTTACCCAAAATTTTAAAAATTTTAGAATGTATTTTGTCCATGATTTTATATTTTAATGTGTGTTATCAATGTTAAGTGTTAATGCTTTTATAAATAATCTCAACCACTAGTAAGTTACACTGAAGGATTGTGATATTTTTTAAATATTTACATATTTGTCTTATTACAGTGTCTTGAAAAAAGAATAAAACCATTTCGAAAGCTAGACAAAAAGTCAAATAAATATTTAGACATTAATAAATTTGTTAAATTTATTAATGTTTTGTATTTTGAGGATGATTTCCAAAGTGGAAATAGAACTTCAAATAAACTTATTAAATGTTAAAATAAAATTATATATATATATATATATATATATATATATATATATATATATATATATATAATATTGCTAAATTAAAAGCCTAAAAACCAACATAGTCTGCCTCATTAGTTGTACCACTATATTTAGCGTTATGTATATTACTTATATAATTGTTACATGAATGGAAAAACGTGTAGGATGGTATTTGATGCTAGTCTCATTCGGACAGAAGATGGATTTTTCATCTAAACACAAGCCAATACAACCAGGTCATTCAACTAGTTATAGTATCTACAACTTGAATAAATGCAGTCCGGATTAGTGGTGAGCATTCCACCAATGGTCGACCTGAGAGCTTATACTGTAAACGATATTTAGTTAAATTAACTGAAACAAGAGTCGTCATAGTAATAAAGTTAATTAACCTGAATATTTCCAAAATTATATTTGTAGTTTCTATAATCAAAATTAGAAGGAAATTTAAAAAAATAGACGTAAATAGATAAAAGTTTTTAATAGAAAAATATGGATGAAAAATCGTGCCAGTGATGTACAATTTACCCTTTTATATAATTGGTATTTCTGTGTTTCCATTTTGTAAAATGTCCAGCCAAAATAATAATTAAGATATTTTAAAGAAAACGAATTAGCTGATGTGAGGCAGGCAAGTGTTTGGCCTTCGCAAAAGGACGGACTGATTCGTTGTAGAACCCCAGAATATGCGTTTTGTGCTTACAATTAGGATATGAAACAAAGCGATATTAATATGTACTTTGGATATACCAATTTAAACTTCAAAGTCCAGGTTTTTCCAATTCCACATCCTCAATGGAGATTGGTGATCATTCTGACCGACATACGGTTATTTCCATGGTTATTAGCTACTCTAAGCTTAACTTTCATATTAAGACGTTGACTGCAAAGTCTCATTCAACTAATATTGTAATTGCCTGCCTTAAATAAGTTTTAAATTTTAGTTGAGAACAAAGCAAAAATAAGACTTAGCTTAAGAATATTTTCTTTAGTTAAAAAACTAATACACAAAATTTGATTTAAGAATTAACCAAGTTAAAATGTGGTAAAGAACTAGATATTTTATGGAGAAAGATACAAAGAAAAAAATTGGGAGCGAATAAGCAAAGGAGATGAAGAAAAATAAAAAGCCACTTAAGGGCTATTAAGAATAATTATAATATAAATATTATTTAGAATATATATATATATATATATATATATATATATATATATATATATATATATATATATATACTTAACATATATACTAAAATAAAATTTTGTTACATAGGTATACGTTAAACATCGTAGCTGGCGAAATAGTACAACGACTTAGCGCTTACCGATTGTTTCGCTTTTGTGGAGAAATCTTCACTGTTTTCTTTGACCTACATCAATGCTGGCTGTAAATTTAGGCGTGGGTATTCATTAACAACATACCTACTTTAAATTCTTAAAAGGTTTAACGGTATTCCTCTAAATTTTGACATTAATTTTTTTCTCTTCCGATATGCAGTATCGATGAATGGTAATCATTGTTGGTTTTATGTAGATCAACGATTGATATTATAGAAAGACGGAAGTCTAAGCGGAAACTAAACATTTTTTTAACTTTAATAGTTAATAAAGAATACACAGTGTGTCCTTAAACAGTTTACCTCGATCTTCTTGTAAAGTCTGGACGTAAAAAAAAGACACCTTGTTTACAGAAGAACACAAAATAATACAAGGAAAATTGTATCCTTGTATTGGATAAAACGATACAAGGCTTTGTAACAACGACATCGAGGTAATTATTGCAAATAAAAAGTGCTAATCAATTATCACAAACTGTTATTTTTTAATTTTTGTTTGCTTGTGAGATGCAAATTAAGTAAAATTTCACATTTTCTTTAACTTATTGGCCAACACCTTGCATATATTCTGACTATATTAAGAATTAAATAAAAACATTACAGCTAAAGTACATATGGATAAACTAGTTACATTTTACAAAAAATCCTATTGCGCTAAAATCCGACCCTCGATTTGAAAACGCAATTTACAGAAATTCTTGTACAGTAATGTTAAATCAACCTACAATAGCCTCCGGACAGCTAAACGAGTTTCTTGCAATTCCTTTACGAAACGTTCTTATCAACATAGAGTTTAGATTCCTCTAATAAAACATTATATATTGCAAGTGCAGCTGTTATTATTCAAAAGCAAAAGTGCGAAACGGTCTAAAACCAGTAGCACTGAGACAGTTGCGTTTTGTAAAAAAAGTGCAAAAAATGGATGTTTAAATATTTCGATGTTAAAGTAGCAAATCTTCGAAATGTTTGCTGAAGAAATGTTGGTATGGTATATATATATATATATATACATATATATATTATATATATATATATATATATATATATATATATATATTATACAACATGTATTGAATATATTTGCACGTTCTAGACTAAAAGTCAGCGGAATCACGTGGTAATGGGTAAACCAGTTAATTATCATATGCTTTTGCATTATGCTCATTGACAAGTGATTTC